ATAAAATCTCCTGATGATGAAATGGGGGTAGAATTTCCCTCAAACACTCAGCAAATTGCCTTCAATACCAAGCATTATTTTTTTCTTCACTAATAAATTCCCTCCCTTCACTAATTGGCAATTAAATGTCAAATGAATCAAATAAGCTCCAATTGCTCAGTTTAGTTGACAGCAATCTCATTATCTAGGCATTAATATTCTTTACTTTCACAATCAATTTCTCCATGTGCTGTTTCTGCCACAGGATTTTCCTTTGTGTTTCTGCTGCCAGACAGCCAGCCCAGTCAGACAGCTTTTCCATTTCCAGTATGTTTCTCCCTGTCTAATCCTTGTGTTTTACGCAGTCATGGCCAGAGACTGAAGAAACTATTCCCTTGAGGAGAATATTGTATCTGCAAGACAAGTATTGTGCCTATCACCACATCTGATGCTCAGCCAGCCCTCTGAAAGTTTAGGAACATGTTCTGCTTTGTTTCTGTGAAACAGACTTCATGAACCTTAATCTCACCCTTCGTTCTCTTTCCCCATCATCATCCTCTGAAGCACTTTCACTGCCATTCTACTTGCCTCCAGCTTTGGCACAAATCCTCAGCTACAAGGGACTACTTGCACTCAGAGTGCTCTGCTAAGCACCCCAGTGAATTATTCTCAAGCATAAACACTCAGGATCCTTTGGTCATACTTGGGTTCTCTATGGGGGAAGGTACAAGGGAAGAATAAATGTGTTTTGTTCTGGTTCTGTTCCCTGGACTGAAAAAGAAAATGAACCTGAACTTCCTGGGTAATTTTAAACTGGTCCCAAGATCTCTTAATAAAAGTGTTCATGGCAATCAGTGTTCTCAAGGAAGCTGCTCCACTGGTTCACCTTCTCAGCAACAAGTTTTAAGTTTCACATCTTCTCCATCCTCACTGCCTTTGACTTCTGACCCAACTGATAAAACCTACAATTGAGGTTGCTCCTGAACAAGATGCTAGGTAGAACACTACTCTACCACTAAAGTGAAAGTTTGCATCTCTCCTTTCCTACTGATGGAAAAAGTCTGTAATCTTATTAACTGCAACAGCTGTAAATAGTTGCTGTTCCAAAGTAGCCCCACGTGGCCTGGGATGGCCCTGCTTCCTTTAAACTCTTGAGCTCCAAGAACAATCATTCTCACCCAAAGTCAGTAAAGCCTTCTGTTCCTTAGTTCAGTAAATTCAAATTAAGTAGCTCCTCTAAATAAATATTTTTGAACAGTGTTTCATGAATCTTCTTTTCAAGCCACAGTCTCCTATTTCCCTTCCCCAGCTGACAATGGTCTCTTCACCCACATTTTGAGATTTCCACACTCTACTTTCCTGGATTGTGTCCTGAGTTATTCATCGTAATAGTTCCCCTGGACTCAGCCTGGAACCTCCCTTTAAGTCACTTGCTCAGTCATCTAATCATACCCTTAATCCTTCCTGGCAAATCCAACCCCAACCAGCTACTCGAGCTGAGAGAAAGAAGGAAGCCCTGCCCTAACAATTACATGCAACTGGTCCCATGCCCTGACAGAAATAAGAGCATGGAATTCCTAGATCATATTTCCTGATAGTAACTGTTCCTCTGACCACCTCTTTTTTTGCTCTCGATGACTGCTAAGAACATGTTTTTGACCTTTCTATTTCTTCTTGAAGATTATGGCTTCCTAACTTATGTCCTTCAGCCTCCTAAGTGAATATATGGTTACAATGGATACTGGGCTTTCATGAAAGGGGTCTGAAAAGTAGTCAAGGGTGGAGAGAAAAAAGTAGTTTTACAACAAATGAACAAGCAAAAGCATCAAGCTAATGCTGAAAATGTATTTGATAATATACTCGGGAAAAAAGTCACAGAACTCTGCTATTACTCCCAAATGCAAGACTTCAAAAACCAAAGCCACAAACAAATCAACTTTAGACAGCATGCTTAATGCTAAAAGAAATTGTAACATCAACTCAAAATCCATTTAGGCTCATTATATACTTGGCCTTTTGGGGTTTATTTTTTTTTTTTTTTTTTTTCTCAGAAAAGGTCAGTTGCTTTTTAAATAGCACAAAGCAGAGGAGAAAAATGATCAAACCTTTAATGTGCAAAAATAAAGCAGCACAAGACTCAGTGGGATGTTCTGGCACAGTTCTACACAAGTGTCATCACAGGAGTCCGAGGCAGCAGGAGAAAACACCTACTGGCAAGACAATCTTGCTGAATACAGAGAACAGGGCTAAAGACACAAGTGTTCAATAAAACATGGAAGTGGGAAATGGAGAGAATAAGTGTAGGAGTAGTAGTGGGAATAAAATTTCTTCACATTTTGTTGTGTAATTTTGCTGTGTAGTAGTGTTTCAGTATGATTTATTGTGTAATGCTATTGCATAGCATCATTTGTTGAGCAACTTTGCTGCGTGGTATAGTTTTTTATTTAATGATATTGAACATTAGGCAATGGCCTTGCATGCCATAATTTGTGTTTTCTGTTGAGCAACATTACTGTCATAGCTCTTAACACAAAGGTGAATTGCATGAATTCATAACAGTGCTGAATTTACAATTTTAACATATCATAGAATGGTTTGGGTTGGAAGGGACCTTAAAGATCGTCTACTTCCAACCACCCTTCCATGGGCAGACACACCTTCCACTAGAATTTCATAGCCTCATCCAACCTGGACTTGAACAATTCCAGGAACAGGGCATCCACAAGCTCTCTGGGCAACCTGTTCCTGTGCATCATCACCCTTGCAGGAGAGAATTTTTTCCTGTTATCTAAACTTACTCTCTTTCAGTCTGAAGCCCTTACCTTGTCCTATCACTACATGTCCTTACCTTGTCCATATCACTACATGAAAGTATGCTGTATGTTCACTCAGAAATGGCAAAGGGAGACAATTATTTTTATCTCAACAAACAAACATGCAGAAAAGCAGCAAACTGAGCAGGTATTTTTGCAGAACTTAGGGCATTAAAAATTGTTTCACAGCATTGAAGAGCCACACAGCATTGCCTCATGAATAACACTTTCTATCCTGAGCTACTTTGTAACTCTTGTAACTACAATGTGACATATTACATATTTCATCTATCCCTACCTGACTGTAAAAACTACAGGAGAACCTTGTTCCACATACAGCTGGGTATAAATAAGAACTGTAATGTGTTTGTCATGTGACTTAGGCTCTACTCAAAACTAACCTTGAAGGGACCTGCTGTAATTCAAAATCTGAACAAGAAGCTCCACAAGATAGCACTGATGACTTCATTACAATGGAATCCTGCTTTAACAGCAATGCTACCGAACTTAAAGCAAAAATTAAAATTTTTCCATTAGTAAATTAGTAAGACTTAAACATATGTTAGGGGCAATAACATCCTCCAAAGAAGCAGAAGAAAAAACTTTGCTCTATGTGTAGCATCACTGTTACTTATCATTACATTCTTAATATTTACTTGCTTTTCCTTTTTTTTTTTTTTTTTTTTTTTTTTTTTTTTTTTTTTTTTTTCCTCCTCTGATCATTTTTGCTTACAACAGACCTGGTCAATTGACAGACTTAACATTTTTGAAGTTGAGGAAATACATCAGAACTTGTGTTATTTTTTTTCAAACAAATCAAGTAATTGATAAAGTTATCAACTTTGTACCCACATCTATTTTTATATCCATCTGAAAATGCTATTGATTGACTAGAATAGCATTTCTTTCATTTGTTACCTGGCAGTCTATGAACAATTGTATGTTGCAAGAGTCAGAGAGCAAACACTGGCAGATTACAATGCAGTGCTGCTGCAAGCATTTTTATTTGCTCTCATATTCTGGCAGTTTTAAAAACAGAAGAGAAAAATAATGCAGGCTCAATTTTTAAAATATAGCAAAACACAGAAGCTATGGAAAGGCAAATTGTGAAAAAAGTGAGCTCATTCAATCTATAACATAATATTAATTTATTATCTGACAGATGGCAGAAGGGAGGGGGGGCGGAAAAGCAAAGACTGCTGATGCAGTGAGCTTCCCGTCTGTAGCAAAGGCCCCGCATTCCCACCTATCACATTGCCACGAAATACATCCACAGTTGCACGCACTCCAGTTTTGCTCTGTGTGCTTCAAAATAGCTAAACCTCATCGCTGCGTGAACAACGAGAAAGTGAAGAAAACATCCAGAGGAGTAAATGATCCTTCTGCCAGCTGCCCGTGGCTACTCACAATAGCAACTGTGAAAGCGACTCCTTTCATTTGACACACGAGACAGAACCATTCACGCTGACCAATAACACTTCCAGAGCTACCGGTCACTGCAGCAAGGTACCACCTCATTTGCTGTCCCAGCACTGCAAGCTGCTTTTGCACATTTCTCCATATTCCAAAACATTGACTCTTCCTTCAGCATCTGCCACATTGCAGTCGTGGAGTGCCAATACAGGAGTGGAGCACATTGAAAACGGAAAACAGCAGGACTGACCCAAACATATTTAATAGAAAATGAAAAGCTGCTGCACTGGCGGTAACAACCATTTCCTCATTTCTTTTGCTGAACTCCACGCGATGCCGACGTGGGGCTCCCACCTGCCGCAGAAGCCAAAGACCGGCTGTGCCGGAGGGCCTCGCTTACCTCCGACATCAGATGCCCGTATGACAACCCCAAGGCACGCCGCGGCGGCAGAGAACCGGAGGAACCACGGCCCTGGGAAGCGGATTTCGCTACGTCCATCCGCGGGCGCCGGGGGGACGCGCTCACCTTGCCGCGGATCGATGCCCCGCGCACCCCGGGCCGCTACACGGGATTACGGCGGATAAACAAACACCGCACCGAGCGCACCCGGAGGGGCCAGGAGGGCAGGCGGCAGTGGGGGGGTCTGCCCCCGCCGCGGCCCCATCCCGGGGAGCCGGAGCGCGCTCCGCGTCTCCCGGGAGATGGAGCCATTTTGAGCCGCTGCGCATCAGTGGCAGCGGGCGGGGGGCGCCGGGAACGGCGATGGCGGGGCCGCGGCCGCCCTGGCGCGTTACCTCGGATGCTCCAGGTCCAGCGGTAGAACTCCAGGGTATCGTTCACCACGCTGGATACCAGGCCCATGGCGCTGGGGGGCTCGGCGGCGGCGGCACCCATGGTGAGCAGCAGCAGCAGCGGCGGAGCCGGCAGACCTGTCTCGGCGCGTGCGTCCGTGCCTCTGCGCCGGGGCTGCTGCTGCTGCTGCCCCTTCTACAGCCGGGGATGTGATTTAAATCTCTATCTCTCCGTATCTTCCCTCCAGACTCCGCCTCGCTCCCGTCACCGGCTCCCGTGCCCCGCGGGCAGGGTGGAGGGCGCGGAGGCGGGGGGCGGCGCGGCGCGGCCGCAGCTCGGTGCCGCGGCTCGGTGCCCCGGCTCGGTGCGCAGCCCCGGCTCGGTGCCGCGGCTCGGCGCTCCCGGCGCGGTGCCCCAGCTCGGTGCGCAGCCCCGGCTCGGTGCTCCCGGCGCGGTGCTCCCGGCGCGGTGCCCCGGCTCGGTGCTCCCGTCGCGGTGCCACGGCTCGGTGCGCAGCCCCGGCTCGGTGCCCCGGCTCGGTGCCCCGGCTCGGTGCGCAGCCCCGGCGCGGTGCCCCAGCTCGGTGCCCCAGCTCGGTGCCCCGGCTCGGTGCGCAGCCCCGGCACGGTGTCCCGGCTCGGTGCCCCGGCTCGGTGCCCCGGCTCGGTGCGCAGCCCCGGCACGGTGTCCCGGCTCGGTGCCCCGGCTCGGTGCGCAGCCCCGGCGCGGTGCGGGGCGGGCGGGGGCGTCACGTGGCCGCCGTCCCGCTGCCCCCGGCGGCGCCCGCGGCCCCGCGCAGCGGCGCGGCCGCGCAGGCGCCCGGCGGCCCCGCGGAGCAGGTGCGGGACCCGCTCCTCCTCCCTCGGAGGGCGTGCGGGGTGGCGGGGAGGCGCTTGTTCTCTCAGCCTGGCTTTTTATGTTCAAATAGGATTTTTTTTATTTTTTATTTTACCAGAAAGGGGGGAAAAGTTTGGATTTTTCTTCTCTCTTCCCCTCCTGCTACCCCTTGACGGACACGCCGAGGGACCGGCGTGAGCGGTGTTGGCGTTACCTCCGTCAGTGCGAATGGAGGCTCTTCCGCTGCTTCCAGGAGCCCTCGCTAAGATCCCTTCTCCTCCCAGTACGGATAACACCAGCAACCGCAACGGGACCTCACTACCTCCCTGCCCAACCACCTGGTGGCACTTCCCTGACCAGCCTTCTCCAAGTAACACCCAGCTGCCCTTCTCACACCTCTCCTTATCTCCTGGACCATGGCCTTTATGGTCATTTCATGGAGCAGAGAGATTCAGCTGCTCGGAGTGTTGCTGGGTGCTGCAGGAGAAGCATCCGTTCTGCACCCTGTGTTTCAGTCCCAGCAAACCCTCTGTCTGGTGTAAAGGCACCACCTGCTCCTCACACCCTTTGCTTCTTATCTCCTTGGCAGCTTGTCTGCCCTGTGATCTTGCATAGTGCAGATGGCTGCATGACACCCTCGGGAGTGAGGGGCAGGAGGGACCTGCTCCACCCAAGCTGCAAGCTTTCCATCTAGCAGGCAACAGATCAGATGGTGTCTGCCTCTCCCTCCTCCGGTGCAGCAGCACCTCTATCACTTGTTGTCACTTGGTCTTGGTGAGCACAGCTCGCACTCCTCCTCCTGGGTAAGTCAGCCCCGGCTTAGCTCCTGCACTGCTCTGGCTGCTGCGATCCCAGCCCTATGGACAGGAGAGGCACACTGGACATCACTAGTTAATCCAGTGGAAGCAGAGTCACTGCACCAAAACCAGGTGGCTGGCAGTAGGGATCACCTACGCTGGGAAAATGAAGAGGAGCTATGTCAGCACCTGGAGGCCTCAATGGACAGGGAAATCCAACTTACCCCAGTGCTGGCTGAAAGTTGGAGCGAAGCAAGGTTATCACATGTGGATGTATGGACAGCTGCTACTTCTCGCACATGAGAACAGTCAATCAAAATTCTTCATGAATTACAGTGACTTGACTTATGCCTTGTTTTGATGGTGATGATCGTGGCAGAAGGTCTGATGAGAGCTCTGAAATGGATCTATCACTGGTAGGGCAAGTTGAACACCAACCTGCTTTCTGAAGCTGCAAGGAGGCAGACAGTGTAGTGTTAGCTGTGTTTCCTCTGCCTCCAAAAGGAGAAACTACTGCAGTGTATTGTTGGACATTTAGTATCTTGATTTGTGGTTAGCACTGTCTAAAGCACAGCTTCAGAACTTTTTGTAACATTATCATTTAAATCTAAAGGAAACCAGGAGATTGAGTCATAATCCTCAAATTGTATGTGGCCATTTGTGTTGGCCACATGCTGGAAACAACGATTCTGAGTGAATCAACATGGCAAAGATTTGCACTTCCCTGCCCTGTTGTGCAAGATACGGACTTAAGAGAGTGCCACCAGCACAAGGAGTGAAGATCCACAGTCCACCAAAGAACAAAAAAGGAATAAGACATATTAGCAATATGAATACATATTTCTGTTAATAATTATTTCTATTATAGCTTACATATACTTAATTCTTCATTAGAATGCCTGTCTATTCTGTGGAAGTATTTTTGCATAACTGACACCAATAATTACTGTTTATAAATTGTTTATATCATCCAATTTACTGTTTCATTTATTTCTGATTAGGTAACTTTCCTTGATGGCAATTAAATCCTTTATATTAGCAATATGATTGTACATAGATAATTTCACAGAGCCATTAAGGCTTGAGAGGAGCCACAACTGAGTTGCAGAGTTTGGACAAAAGGGAGAAGATGAACTATCTAACAAGAGTAACTTCCTCTGTACTTTGAGACTGCCTTAAAAAAATATGCTGAAATTTACAGCTAACTATTTTCATTAGTTTTACTTTCAGCCTGCAAATATGTGGACATACTTTTAAGATTAGGTATGTGTCTGAGGCTTCCAAACACATCCCAGTTAGTTTTCTACATTTGTGCACCCTGCAGGGTATGCTACCTTAAGAATGCTGAGACTTCTACTTAAAGACACCAGAAGGAGGAAGGCATCCAAAGGCATAGTATCAAAATATCCTCCAAGGAAATCTTCAGCATGGTAGTCAGAAAATGATGATTTTTGATTTTTCAATATAATTAGTTGGTCAGTGTTGTAATTTTCTACTTGACAATCTACTTATTCCTAAAACCTGGACATCTCAGATGGGCAAGTTTCTGCTAGGAAAAGGCAGATCTGTGGCAGCTGATCCCAGAGGAGCACACACATGAATTCCCAGCTGTGCTTCAGCCGTTTGCCCAGTGCTCCAGGGTGCTTATGCTGGCAGCAGGCAACTCTGTGCTTTAGGAAGGGTGCAGAAGGTAACAGGAAGTTGTGGGACAGGTGGATCTAGAAAGCTCTCCTGCCAGTTCCCATTCCAGATACAAACTATTTCTTCCATGTATTTTGTAAAAAAACTCCAATGACATTTCAGAGCTGTTTCAAACCATTTCCTGCTTCTTCATGAAACAGAGATAGAAATGTTACAAGCTCCCGATGATCAGTGCCTTTAGTCATGCTTGTAAAAATGCATTTATTCATTAATTTCGGTGAAGCATATGCTATCATAATGACTGATGAATCAGCAGATGCTTCTGCAGTAGTTGAAAGTATTCCCACTCAGGTTTTGCTTCAGGTTAGCAATGACATTGCTGTAAGGGGAAAATGTAATGCAGGTATATTTGGTCATATTTATGAAGTGTAGTAGGAAGAAAGCAGTCGGAGCTTTGTATGTTGCAGTCAGTGATCCCTCCAGGCAGCTCAATAAAAGACAAAAACAGCAGTAAAAGAACTCTACCTTGCTACAAAGAGAATCACCAAAACCAGGAACTTACCTGGTGGGAAAGCATAAAATCTCTTGAATCAACATATTTGACAGATCTAAATGTTACATGATGTGGTAAGGGACAACCTATTCACTTATCGCTAAAGAAGGTGCATAAAGTATTGTATGTGTTGAGCATGACCAAATTTAAATGTTGAAAACACATTTAAGTTTAGAAATGTGTTTTAATTACTTGAATTATCTAATTCTCATGTTTTTTCATTTGATTCCATCAATCTTAGGAGGGAAAGTGATTAAATAAATTACCACATTAATTTGCAGTGAATGGGCTTTTCTTGCACAGCCTATCCAATTGCAATGCTCCTTGCATTAAAACTTTCAAGTTGATACGCCTTATAAAGACTGCTAGCTGAGCCAAAAAAAGCTCATTTGATCTTTGAATCAACAAGTACAGGCTCAAGTGTATTCATATGCAATAGTACAAATGCTATCTGCTTCAACAGAGAGGCTGATTTAAGGCAGCTTTATACTATAAAAGCTTAAAATAAGCTGGTTTCATACAACCATAATATTTTAAAATAATAACATTAAAACCAATTATGTGTCTTTCAGCACTAATTAATTTGTTTATTATGCAACACACTGTTAATTCCATAATTTGAGGTGGGGTAACTCTGCACACAGGTATTCCACAGCACAGTCTTCCATGGGATCTGAAACAGATCCGGCTTTTTGTTTTCTAAACCATCCGCTAGATTCCATTTGTCCTTTCATACATTTAACTGCATCAAAATAACCAAATATATTGGAGTGATGCATCAGAAAGTGTCCAGAGATGCTAAAGCTCAGTACAGGCTTTGGGCAAAAGTTACATTAGCTGTAAGCTCCCACAAGGTTCCACCTCGCTGTTGGCACCAGCACGGGATTGGATCTCTCATATGCGTCAACTTCATGTTTTGAACATCAACCATTTTTACTGTGGCTCTAACAGAAATATGAGAATTAAAGTATGTTTAATATCCTGGTTTAAATGGTCAAGAGCCAGACTGAATGCTCCCAGTGAAGTAAATGCAAGTTTTGTTTCCAAAGGGCTTTCTATACATATTGACATTTCTTCATCTTTCTGCATAAAAATTAGATGCCAGGAAGATGAGGGAAGTGGTGAGCAGTTTTCTCCCAAGCCATATCAGGCTTTACTCTCAAATATATCTGTGATTTGACTCAGGATCGTTATATTTAGAGTTTTTTTCTAAACTGTAGGACAAACCCCATTTACTGCAGTCTGGGCAGAGGGTGGAAGTGTTGGCCTGCAGTGCTGGGCTGCATTTAGCTTGAACTGCTGCACTTTGGTACTTGTTCAGAAGAGGAGCCCTTAGTCCAGTGTTTCCCAGCACCATTCTGAGTGATTAATTTATAATTGATATCTGTGTTGGAAATGGCACTAACCATGAAGCTAATGTGCATATCCAGTATATGAAATGTGTTGTGTACCCAGCAGGTGCACATACATTCATAGGCAAAG